GTGTGAAAAAAAAACAAAAAACCCCCCACACATATATGAGATGAGGAAAATTTGGGGATTTAAAAGTCCACACAATCTTAAAGTCACTAAGATGTGAAGCAGTGGTTTAAATGAAGTTCATTTTAATTTAATATAAAGTCAGTCACTCTTAGCCTTTTCGCACTGTCCCCATCCACTCTCGCATGGGCCGTTCCCATTTTTGGGGAGTGTGCCCCCTCTCACATACCACTCAAAGCCCCCCCCCCAAAAAAAACAGTGACCATACCAATTTATCAAAAGGATACTGTTTGGATGCCCCCTAAGAAACTGCCTTCTCTTGGCCAAATACTTTTTGTGGTTATAGGTAACAGGTCTGGTTTCACACCAGAAGTACAGTAAATTCACAAGAAACCCAAGAAGTTCAAATAAATGAAATTTGTAGAAGAAAGAAAGAAAGAAAAGTGGTTTGGCCCCCACTATGACTCAGGAACAAGACCTATCTATAGCAATAATATTTGACCTCTACTTGCATTCAGTTTTTTTCTCCCACCCATTATAACAGACTCCTTGACTCTCTTCCTTTGTTTTTGTAATAGATTTGCTGTTGTATTGTTTTTCACTGACAGTGTGAAAATTAAAAAGGCCTCTCTGGGGAATTGGAATTTTCCATCTCAGGACTTGTTTTCTGAAGTCTTTTGCTTAGCAGACTTAGAAGATTGGAGTTAGGATGTTCGGTGCACGGACCATGTGCTCTTCTGCTGTGGGCATGGAGGTCCCTCGATTCGACCCGTCCCTGAAGGCCCATGGTGCAAATGGGGGAGATTTCGAAGTAGTCCCCCTGTCCCTTGAGATTCTGGCCCTCTGCTCTGCAACATGAAACCTAGCTACCTGGGAAGTGTCATGAGGACCTGAATTGGTCTCAGATAGGAGAGAATCCATAGTTTATGTTTCTTCCCCAGATGTTCTAGGAGGTTGATTCAGAGTAATGGCCATGATTCTTGACTTGATTGATAATGATGGGAGACTTACAGAAAGGTTCTGATGTAGAGCAGTGATGAGGGTTGGGCAGACTTATAAGTCCAGTAATAAATTAATAAAATAAGTGATTGGTGAGATAGGCACAGATGATGGTAACAACTGGTCATGAGTAAGGTAGCAAGCCTTTTAAAACATTGGCCTTAACAAAGTGTAGTTAGGCTTCAGTTGAGGAAGAAATAAGTTGTATATATGTGCACAATAAATTTTTCAGGACCTTCATATTACAAAATAATTCAGCACACTTTGCAACTTCTTATCAACATCATACCAAACATCACCGGTACAATATAAGCAATTCTATGTTCATACATTATATTAGAAATCATATTTAACATTGATATAAAATGTATATTTTGAAAGGTTTAACTTACTTTAATCATCATAGCCCTAACAGCTACCAGTTTCTCTTGTACTTAGTTTTTATTTGTATTGTACAATGTATTATTTCTATTTTATAATAAAGCAATTAATTTGGAAAAAAACATGCTTGATTATTCAGGGTGATTGATTGATTGATTGATTTGTGAAATTTGTATGCTCCCAATTTTCGGAGAACAATGCTGTTTCTTTATGCAAGTCTCATAGATCTTTCTGTAAAGCTGACTTTTTTAAGACAAAAGGAGAAAATGTAACTTTTTCACAGTAGTTGCTAGGATACACTGCTAAATTTATTTATTATTATTTCAGCAAATTCCTTTGCCAACCACGTGTTCAGATAGTAAAAATATTCAGAGGGCCGACGTTTGGCTGCCTTTGGGGAGAGATTGACCTAATTCCAGAATTTATGGAATGGATAATTCTACTATTTAATTCTTGCAGCCTGCAAATGAAGAGAGAAAACCAGGAGAGGAACCCCATTTCTTCAGTGTTCCAGCATTTCTCACCGTCTCAGGACAACTGCATTTGGAAGTGATGAGTGGGTATGGCTTATGGGAGTTTCAGGATGATTTTAGTCTGTTATATATCTCTGAACGAACTAACGAAATTGCCTAAGAGAGCTGCCCGCAGGTGTTGCTGGAAGGCGAACAGAATTGTAGTAAATCTCTTAGTTAGCAGAATGCAGAATTAATTGGCAAGCGTTAGGACCAAACAGGAAGGTTGCAGGTGGCCACATAAAGGATTTGACTTATAAAGGAAAAGCGGGGTGGGGTGGGGTTCATTGACCCTATTTGTATGACATAGGAAGAGGGATTAGCATGCAGGAATAGGAGAATTAGGTCAGCTGACCCCGATCATTAACCCTAAAAGGGTTAGATTTAGTCTGCTTGGGGTTTGCCCAAATGCCTGAACTCACACCTCCACAGCAGACATGACGTGCTAGAGAGACCTTACAAAAGCAGCCTCTCTAGGCAGTTCATTTTGGTGGCTATTTTGATCCCCCCCCCTCCGCCCGGTGGGGCAGAAATGACAGGGGTGGGAATGCCCCCACTCCAACCCTATCTGTGGTGGGCCTGACCCAGATGGCACCACTCCATTTTGGAGTTGTGGTGGTTTTGCACAAGCAGGAAGCGGGGAAGTGATGCCAGAGGTGGCTGCTGTTGTGCTACCAAGCGCTAGGAGAAGAGGCATGGAGGAGAATGAAAGCAGAGTGGCACGGGGCCCACTGTCGTCTCTTTTCTGTGGGGTAGATGGGGCAGGGCCTCCTCGGTGGGCACCGGGCTTAGGGGTGGCTTGAACAGGGCCCATGTTCAAATCACACAGCGGGAGGCGGGATACTTTCATTTTTGAATGCAGGAACTCCAGGTTGCATATATAGTTCTCCCTTCTCCCATTCTTCCCCATAATAACACCCCTATAAGGTAGGCTAGCCTAAAGTTACCCCATGACTCCTAGCCCTCCAACCTGACTGTTACACCCTGCTGGCTTGCTTATTTCTTATATTTTCATCCGACCTTTACTCCAGGAGCTCAGGCCAACATGCATAGCACTCCCTCCACCTAATTCTCTGTAATAATCAGCAAATAATCCAGCTTCAGTGCTGGCCCTCTTTAAAATCTCTATTCTGATGCCATCTCGCCCTGTTTACAGCATCACCCCGTAGAATAAGCAAACAGGCTGCTCAGTGTACTGTACAGGATGTTGTGTTAGTGGTTCACACTTTGTTCTTTAACAGCCTGTTCCTTTTTTATTTAAAAAAAAAAAACTAAACGCAGACATTCTAAGAAGATCAAATACAAACTAAATTTAGAGGCACTATATATACCTCTCTCTCTGGAGAGAATTCCATCTTCATTCGGAGCCAAAATGCCACTCCAGGACCTTCAAAGGAGCTTGACAACCCAACCTTTAAGGGATTATAATGGAGGGGCCAGTAGGTGGATGTGGACAGTATTTTGGGCAGAAAAAAGAAAAAGGTTTCTGAGATACATCTCTTGGATTGGAGCTGATGCATCCTCTCGCCCAAACGTATTATTGAATGTGGTCGTTAAAGGTCTTTGATAATAGTAAAATAGGAGGAAAGCGGTTATCGCAGGCCTTCTTAATTCTTCCTTCCTTGGACCCTGTCTCCTTTGAGAAGCGTCTTCCAAACAAGGAAGCCTACTTCGTGGTTAAATGAATGTTTGCTTTAATCCGCTTTCTGGACCTATCCAGTGCCAAGTTGGAATGATTAGATCCAGTGTTTCTCAACCTTGGCAACTTTAAGATATGTGGCCTTCAACCCCCAGAATTCCCCAGCCAGCATGGCTGGCT